GCTTTGAGCACTGCTGATGAAGCCATTGTGTGGGCGAGTCAGGTGGTGTGCCAAGTCCGTTGTTGTAGCTCGTCTACCTTTGGTAATCCAAGCCGATCTCGTGTCGTATTGGATAATGTCGCTGATTGAGCGTATCCTCAAAACGCTGGAAGTGATGGAAAGTGACGAAGTGAGATCAGAATAGAAGAACCTCTCGTGAATGAGGCCGTGACAGACATGCATCTGCAGTATGAAGGATGTGATCGACCTACGCACGGAGCCAGGATTTGAAAGCTCATAGCCGGGAATGGACGATGCGGGTGGAATGCCACACTCACGACGACTCACACCGAAGGCTCACTCACGTAGGCTGAGCACTCTGGCTGTTGTGCCTGCCAGCTGCTGCTGTCTCTGTGGGGGTGAAAGGCGATCTGTGCAGCTCCGGGTGCCGCCTCGTGCGGAGAGAGTTTCTCGCATCCCTGCACTACCAACCTCCTCACCAGGCTATATTCGTCGGACCAACTCCGGAGCATGGATGGCATTCACGATTCACGATTGCGCTGCATGAGCATGAGACCACCAAACTCTTCGTGCGCTTGTGCCCAGGACTTGTGGAGAACGGGGTCGACGCGCGCACTGCCGGAACGTGCAGCTCTTCCCCCACGCTCGAGCCAAATGCCTCGAGTTGAAAGCGACGCTCGTGCGCGCGGGACGAACTGGACCAGTCACGAGTCACAGAGCCGCCCACCTGCCATTACGAATCGGCTAGCCCGCTTGGTGACGTCGTTTCAGTGCCCGCGTATCCTAGGCTCAAGCATCATCAAGGCAGATGCTGCATGCTGCATGCAGCATGCAGCAGCAGCACCAGCTCATGACGGTGGCAGTCCCACAAGCGCAAGCGGACGCTAAAAGGATCTTGTGAAACGACAACATTGAGGCCATCGTCTCACTGGGCTTCTTGTACGAGACTGTGACTTGACTGCAGGAGCAAGTGTCGTGCGCGTCAAGCTATACGAGAAAAGATCTATCAATCTCTCCTGCCTTCCGACCACTACACTTCGGACCTGACCGCCTGGTAATCTTCGGTGGTTTCAGACTTTCTATCACATCGCGAGCCTACGTCGATGATGGCAGGCATATGATTTGTAAGCGTGGAAAGGGCTGGGTGGAATGGCGAAGATGGATGGCACTTGTGGCCAAGCATAGGCATACAAATTTTCTGTTGAGATTGCAAACAAAAGTGCAAGCAATCAGGGAGACGTTCAATAATCGACGCTTTGTACCTTTGGGGTTTTGCCTGGCGCGCCGTGGTGTGTACGATCCTTTGCCAGAGCACACTTGTCATCCTGTTCCATAATCCCATCGTAGCAGGGCAGTCGCTACGTCTCCAAATCAGCAGGAGACGCCCCAGCTTGTCAACCCTGCGCGCTTCCCGAAGACGGGGTTTGTGCTGCACTGCTGGATGGTTGCTGTCCTGCATTCGACCCGCTGACGTTACCATTACCAGTAGACGCTTGCGGCCCCCCTCCTGGCGGAAAAGGCTGAGCGCCTGGCGGGAAAGGAGCGCCATATGTCATCCCTTGAACTGGCCGAAGCGGTTCAAAAGTTGGTTAGCTTGGAATCTATCTTCACCCGCAATAGAAGATCTGGACTCACTCGGTTGACCCTGGTAGAAATGACCTGGTGGTCCCTTGCCCTGCATGTGCGGTGGCATATGACCAGGCCGTGGAGGGGGACCGCCGCTGGGAAGGCCGCCGACGTAAGGAGGTGGTGGCGGTCCACCAGAGTGGCCACCTGCCCCGCCCATGAACTGGTTGCCATGCGGTCCATGTGGCATTTGATGACCCATCTGTGGGCTGTACAAGCCTGCTGTAGAATCGATCAACGACAGGGCGAATCAGTCTCAGGCCCCGCAAACGGGGCCTCATGGACCTGTAGTCGTAGATCTGGACTCACATGGAGCACCGTGAGGTGGAAGGGGTGGTGAGAATGGCATGCCTTGCATGGCAAAGTGTGGGGGCATAGCACCGTACGGCATTGGCGCCCCTGGTTGCATTTGCATTTGGGGCATCATTTGTTGCTGCTGCGGCTGCCAGGAGATGTTTCTCACATCAGCGAGGTCGCGATCGGACAAAGCTCCTGCGACATGCACTTACCTGTCCCTGGAAGCGATATGCGCCATACGGTTGTGCTGCATACATGATCGGCGCAAAAGGCTGTCCATGGTGTGGTGGACCACCTTGCGAGTGAGGCGGCAATCCTGCCTGAGGAGGATGAGCCGGCTGTCCAGGCTGGACGTGCTGAGCACCAGGGGTGCCCGGTGCAGCTACGTTGTTTGCAGGTCCCCCCGGCCCAGTCGGATGTGGTTGCGGCATTGAAGCGGCGCCCGCCTGAGATTGACCGAATG